GTCCCCTGTGCCCCTGTGCCCGTGTCTCCTGTCCCCATGTCCCCTGTGCCCGTGTCCCATGTCCCCCTGTCCCCATGTCCCCATGTCCTGTGTCCCCATGTCCCCTGTCCCCATGTCCCCATGTCCCCCTGTCCCCGTGTCCCCGTGTCCCCCTGTCCCCATGTCCCGTGTCCCCCTGTCCCCATGTCCCCCTGTCCCCATGTCCCCGTGTCCCCATGTCCCCTGTGTCCATGTCCCCATGTCCCCTGTGCCCGTGTCCCCATGTCCCCATATCCCCATGTCCCCGTGTCCCCATGTCCCGTGTCCCCCTGTCCCCATGTCCCCATGTCCCCATGTCCCCCTGTCCCCTGTGGCTCAGGCCGGGCTGTTGTGCCGGGATGGGACCTGCCAGTGGCATTGTCACCTCCGGGGACTTCCCCGATGAGACGCTGGCTTTCGCCAAGGAGCACCCGCTGCTCCACGGGGCACTGGGACCCGCGGGAGGGCGGCCCCTCTTCACCCAAACCGGCACCAGGTCAGGGCACGGGGTGGGCACGGGGTGGGCACAGGGTGGGCTGGGCACAGGGTGGGGTGGGGACAGGGTGGGCTGGGGACAGACAGGGGTGGCCTTGGGGACAGGGTGGGCTGGGGACAGGGTGGGCTGGGGATGGGGTGGCTTTGAGGACGGGGTGGCTTTGAGGACGGGGTGGCCTTGGGGACAGGGTGGCTTTGGGGACAGACAGAGGTGGCCGTGGGGACAAGGTGGCTTTGGGAACAGCAGGGGTGGCTTTGGGGACAGGGTGGGCTGGGGACAGGGTGGGCTGGGGACAGGATGGTCTTGGGAACAGGGTGGGCTGGGGACAGGGTGGCTTTGGGGACAGACAGGGGTGGCCTTGGGGACAGACAGAGGTGACCTTGGGGACAGACAGGGTGGCCTTGGGGACAGACAGAGGTGGCCCTGGTGACGGGACGCCCCTGTGGTCAGGCGGTGTCTCTGGGTGCTCTGTGTGCCGAGGGTGCTGCGCGGCGGGAGGGTCCCTGTGCAGGGCTCCTGTGTGGGGTGTGCCGGGCCAGGGGGGCCAGTGAGAAGCCCCCCGGGCAGTGCCAGCCCTGGTGCCAGCCCCGTTGGGTGGCCCAGAGTGCGAGGCGAGGCCCCGGTGCTGGCACAGGCTGACCCAGCTGGCCGTGGACGCGGGCGCGGGGCCCCGCGGGGATCACACCGTGCTCTTCCTCGGCGCCGAGGACGGGCGGCTGCTGAAGGTCCTGGCGGGCACACGGAGCCCAGAGACCACCCGGCCCCCCGCGGGCACCCCGGGCCCTGGGGACACCCCCGGGGCTGGGGACAGAGGGGACAGAGGGGGCAGCGGGGACACGGCGCTGCTGCTGGAGGAGATCAGCCTCTACGAGCCCGGGCGGTGAGGGGGGACCAGGGCTAGGGGTCTCGTGGGGGCAATGGGTGCTGAGGGGCTTGTGGGGGCTATGGGACTGTGGGTGCTGGTGGTGCTGGGGGGCTGGTGGGGGCTGTGGGTGCTGGGGGGCACCGTGGGGGCTGTGAGTTCCCAGGGTGGTGCTGGGGGGCTGTGGGTGCTGGTGATGCTGGGGGACGGTGGGCGCTGGGGGTCTGTGGGTGCCAGGCTGGGCTCATTCACCCCGGGCACTCTGGGGCTGTGGGTGCCGGGGGTCTGTGGGTGCCAGGGTGGGCTCACTCACCCCAGGCACTGTGAGGGTGCAGTTTCTGGGGGTCTTTGGGGGTCTGTGGGTGCCAGGCTGGGCTCACTCATACCAGGCACTGTGGGGGTCTGTGGGGTCTGTGGGTGCCAGGGTGGGCTCCACTCACTCCGGGCACTCTGGGGAGGCAGGTTCTGGGTGTCTGTGGGGGTCTGTGGGTGCCAGGCTGGGCTTGCTCACCCTGGGCACTGTGGGGGTGCAGTTTCTGGGGGTCTGTGTGTGCCAGGCTGGGCTGCACTCACCCCAGGCACTCTGGGGGTGCAGTTTCTGGGGGTCTGTGGGTGCCAGGCTGGGCTGCACTCACCCCAGGCACTCTTGGGGTGCAGTTTCTGGGGGTCTGTGGGTGCCAGGCTGG